CCCTAAGTTTTAGGCTTTTAGGCTGAATGTCCGGGACGGGCCCTGTAGGGCCCGTGTGGCTACGCAGTATGCCACACTCGCACTGCACACCAAGCTTTGTCGAACCACCAGCCGTGCACTTCTTTTTCTTTTTGGGCTGCCACCACCAGCCATTGTGGTCAGGTAGCCCCGAGCCTCTGAAGTTATAGGAGCTACTGTCTTAACCCGAAAAAAAAACGTACATACGTTCTATTAAACTTACGTCGAAAAAATGGGTTCTCCAAAATCCCTGATTTTTTTTCCGAATAGAAACGTATTGTCGAATATAACGTGTGTGCTTTGTATTCAAAATTTCAAATATAACGTACAGACGGTACAGTGTTGTGCTCGAATTTTGGCAACTTTAACGGAGACGCGCGAAGGTAGGCTCAAGCTAGCGCTTTGCGCAGCTGTATAACGTAATGGTAAAAGTCTGCCTGACTGTGAGACCTACAAGTCGAACAGAGACGGAATCGGCCATAGCGATCCAGGGGCCCCATGTGGAAAAGCTCACACTAAAGGCACGAAGAGATTGAAGAGGCGACCATAGGCGCCGCCAGGCGGCGGCCCTTCGGCCTTTGTACCCTACTATCAAATATATACCTTAATGAACTCGACCACTTAAAAAACAAACAAATAAAAGCGATTAAAAGTCAGACTAAGTTCACAAATTTTGACCAAAAAAATATACTAAATAAAACAGTAGTAGCTAAAAAAGCACCACAAAAAGTAATCCCGAACGAACAAAAAAAGTACCTAAAAGMCTGAATAAAAAAGTAACAATGTTTAGAAAGAAGGTCCAAGAATTCAACCGAAATGAAATGACTGAATGAATACAAGCTGTAGCTAATACCCAAGGCATCAAAGATGCATTTTCTACGGGATCCCAAAACCACTCTATGAAAAACAGAGAAGTAGAAGCTAATTGTGGCTTATAAAGATTAAATAGTCATAACTTACTCATAACGGTGATATTGTAGGTTCAAATCCTATTAAGCCTATCTGGATTCTGGGTGTATAGCTTAGTTGGTAGAGCATTGAGGTTTTAACCTAATGGTCGCAAGTTCAAATCCTGCTATACCCCCATAAAGCCACAAAGTGGGGTAGACACTCTTATACTCCTTTCAGGCCTCTGTTTTGGGTACACAGGGTCATAGGTTCGAATCCTATCACCTTGAGTCAAAATTAATCAACCATTATCACCTCATATTACTAGTTATAAGCCATAATTAACTTTCTCTATTCTTCATAGAATTTGTGGTGCTTTTTTTTTTTTAGCTACTACTGTTTTATTTAGTATAATTTTTGTCAAAATTTGTGAACTTAGTTCGACTTTTTATCACTTCTATTTGTTTGTTTTTCACTTCATTTGTTATTTTCATTGGTTCATCTTCATTTTTTTTCAATTTAGCTTTCTTAGCTGGAAGTTCTTCGAAGGTATGAAAAGCTGGAGAACTTTGTACCATCCATTCAAGTGTAGTTGAATTTGGCTCAACTGCCCAAGGCGCTTGCAGGGCGCGCACTTCACTAGTTAAAGTGAGATAAACAAACACAAAAAAAACAAACTAAAATTACTACAACAGAAAGATAAGAGCCAAAACTGCTTCATGCATTCCATCCGACACAAGCGTCTGAATAATCCTGCGGGACTGCGGCTCCTGTGCTTTTTCATCTATTAGCTCAAAGAGAAGTTTCCACTGGTGCTCCTTTCTTTAATGGTACTATAATACCTATTTTATTTGTGACAAAGATGAAAGGAAAAAAATCATTGTTTAACTGCTGGGACACCACTTATTTGTTCCTTGACTAAGTTTAGAACGAATTCATAGATCATTTTAACAAAAGATTGCCAAGCATTGGGTACTAAATGACCACCTTCATGGTGACAAACTATAAACCTACTAGTTTATCGTCGTTTTATCGAGAACATTATCGAATGATGATTCGTGGCGGAGAGTCGTATGATGGGAAACTATCACGTGCGGGTAGGAGGGCGGGAAAACACAACTCCCGACCCGTATCTATGATATTATTTTTTTATTTTTTATTTTTTATTTTTCGGATTTTTTTTTTTTTTGATTATTTTTGAAAAATCGAAATAATCAGAAAACACTTCAAAATGGCCAAAAAAATTGAAAAAATATAGTTTATTATTAAAAAAAAATTAAAAAAAATCTTCTTGTTTTTATTTTTTTTAATCGAATTTGGTTGTGAATTTCGATATGGTCCTCGGGCTAAGTTGTTTCTATTGCAATGTTTTACAATTATCTTCTTTTTTTTTTTCGGAATTTGCCACAAATTTCCAGCATATAGCGAAGGGATTGAACTCTCATGTTGCCATGAGAGGGCGGTACCGCAGAGAACAACTGAACAAATTATACAAAGGAGCGTTAGCTGTAGTTTGATGAGAACCTGTTCGATTTCAGATAGGTGATCGTAGGCGCCAGTCGTTTGACTTTCTTTCCTGTGCATTTTTTTCTTAGGTCTTTTTTTTTTTTTAACCAAAAAAAAAAAAAAAATCCGAAAAAAAAAAACTACGTTGTACAGAAAAATTGCAATACAAACAACTTTTGCCTGAGGGTCTTGGAGAAATTCCCGACCAAATGCGAGCAAAAAAAAAAAAAAAAAAAGGACATTGGTACGACAGGCTCCTCGAAATTCATACCCTACAAACTCGTTCTATAACGTACCCGGCACGTTGTATTCGAGAAATGGATCAAAGTCTTCCAACTTGAAATGCAAGGGTGGAAAAAGAAAATTGACGGAAAATAGGGTTTCAAACGAATCAAAGGGTGACACTGTGTGTTACATCTTCGACTCACACGGGTCCTACCGGACCCGACTTAGGGCCGGAGGGACACACCAGGGCCTAAAGGCCCGACCTTTGGGGTTAC